AGCTTATTATTTTGAATTATTTTATATTAAATGATCCATATGTTTTATTGCCAATCCCTGTTTTCACTTCAATTTTCCAGGATGTTACTCTATTTTGCAAATTGCAAAAAGAAAGGGAAGAGGAATGAAGCATTCTCTCTTTTGAAGGCCACCATTTCTGACCTATTGGACTGTGTGCTTGAACAACAAGCGGTGTGTGATGACTCCAAGGAGAGTGGAAACCACAGGTAGAGCACACACCGTCTTTATTCTCAGGCTCACAATGTTAACATTCTGCATTTTTTTAAACATATTTTTTTTTAATCTAAGCCACCCCCTCCCCCAGGGGATGGCCACATGGCATTCCCTTCTCTATTCTCCTCTTGAGATTTTTGGGCCCACACGCACCTAGCATATGTTTCATCATTACGTTCAGGAATGAATCTGCAGTTGGGCATCTAGGAGTCCAGGGCTTTAACCATTATGCCACCTGCTGGCCCCAGTATTCTGCCATTAAATAAAAGCTCAGAAATTCTATTAATCTCTTGACTATTAATTCATATTATACTATAAAGGTTTTATTTTTTATTTCTTTTCTATCATCTCACACTTTATGTCTTGCACAGTGGTTGCTCATGAGTTTGCCTTTGGCTCGTTAACCTTCCTGAGAGTGGTGCCCTTGCCTTCTTCCTCCTTACAGCATATGGATAAAAATCAATAATATTAGAGCACCAAAATACAACAAGCCTCATGCATGCAAGAAGCTTTATAGTTGAGGACTATTTCTCACCTGCATTAATTGCTGTGAATTTGGTGAGTCAGTTTTGAAACTATCCATTTTATTAGTTAAAGTTTGTTCCCAATGTTACACAGAAAACATAGGACAGAAACAACGCAAATCTAATATTAATTATAGAGTCATAAATCTTTCCATCAAACACTCTCTTTGGTACATATAAGGCATCGACTACTTCATAAGTGCTTTTGTCAATTCATAGAGATTTTAAGGAGTCCTTTCCTAAATAGGTGTGTGATGAATTTCTTATTTTTGACATTTTTTATTCTTTCCTGAGCTGTAGAACACATCTTCTTATCATCATTTCTGGCTACAGCAAATTCACTCTGGGAAATTTCATAAAGAAGATCTTAGAGATTCTCTTTTACTAACATATTCCAGTTTGTTTCACATTCAGTCTCGTCATCAGGATTGCAAAGTCAGGAATAGTCTCTGATTAACTTTAGCAGAAAACAAATACATCGAAGGACATCAAGAAGATCACAGAAAGGTGAAGAGGCGGGACTGGGCAAGGCCAGTCTCAGAAAAGCCAGTCAGAACAGTAATTTCTCACGTCATTGCCATTAGCCATAGAACTTTTATGCCACCTTTAATTGCAGCCTAGTCTCTCTCTTCCATTCTGTGGAGCTCCAAAACACTTTAGTCAACCCACATAATCTCTCTCTCTCTTTTTTTTTTTTGGAGAGATTTTTGCTATAGAATGTGTGCATTCACCAGAAAGAGAGAGACGAAGAGACAGAAATCAAGAAATCACTCCCAGGGGGGATAGCCCCACTGCAACCCCTTCTCCTCCATTCTCCTCTCAGGATCTTTTGCACACACATACATGCGTCTGGTGTGAATTTAAGCCACGGGATCCAGGACTCCAACTGCAGTCAACTACATAGGAGTCCAGCAGCATAGCCACTAAGTCAAATGCTGGTCCCAGCCCACATAATCTTAAAAGAATTCTGAAAATGTGACTCATGGACTGGGAGTTTGCTCTTGGTTATATTAAGTCATATATAAAAAAATTTAAAAAAAAAAACATAAAAATCAACACTTAACTTTTCCATAGATGCCTGAGAAAGAGTCTGGGCTTCCATCTTTGTAGCATGTTCTTCCGAAAGTACCCTATTGTTAAATATAATAGGAAAAAAAATACAAAAGAAATAAGAAATTATTTTACATAAGAGATCAAAGACAAAAATAAAAAAAAAAAAATCTGACAACTCTGGGGCTTTATTTTTTTAAAGATTTCTGCTATATATAGGGTCAGTGCCTTGGCAGAGAGACAGAGAGATAGAAAGTGAGGAATCAACCCTGCCAGGGAGGATGGCCATGCTGCAATCCCTTCTCCTCCATTCTCCTCTTGGGATTTTGGGCACGCACCCACACACACACACACCCCCAGTGTGAGTTTCATGCTACCAGGTCTGGAACTCCAAATTCAGTCAACCATATGAGAGTCCAGTGCCTCAACCACTATGCCACCTTCTGGATCCAGGACATTTTTTTTTTTTTAATTTAGATTTCTGGTGGGGATAAAAAACTAATTAAGACATAAAAATCCCTGCTTCTGTCGTCAATGCTAAAGGCAAGAAGTCTTCATGGTAAAGAAATAGTAATTAATGCTGGAATTAATAAAGTTTAAGAGACCTATGTCTAGATTCCTTTTAGGGTCATTTCGAGTTTTTAATCTTACATCAGTGGTTGTCCAAGATTCTGACAAGCTAGAGGGCTGGACCAAGGGGACTATAGCATGATGACAACCTGTAGAAGGTGCTTCTGTCGCTGTGTCTTCTCCCTTCACTGCCTGTCATGTGTGTGCATATGTGCTCTTTCATGAACAAAATACACATTTTTTTATAAGGACCCTGTTGAGGGTTCCATCTCTTTTCCTCTCTTTGTCTCTCTCTGTCTTTCACTGAAGAAAGAAAGAAACGTTAAAAAAAAATCTTAAAAAGTGCATTTCTCTCCTTAAACAATCATTCTATTTGATAGTTTGGCAATTTAACTTCATAGTTTGTAAGGACTTTATTTTATACAGTGTTTAACAGCATATTTACTTGCTGACAATCATGCTTATGTATTTCAAATTATAAAGCACTCTCTATTATGAAAATGCAGTATATTCCTACATAAATTATACACATTACTTACAACTTTGACTTAGTGAGTTCTTTTCTGAAATTAAAAAATAGTACATCGACAAAAAGTATATGTGTTTACCATGTACAATACGATGTTTAAAATATACTGTCCATTTCAGAGAATCTAAGTGGAGTTCCTTTCCTCAGATAGTTATCATTTTTTGTGGCAATGTCATTTCAAATCTTTTGTATATGTGTTTACCATGTACAATACGATGTTTAAAATATACTGTCCATTTCAGAGAATCTAAGTGGAGTCCCTTTCCTCAGATAGTTACCATTTTTGTGGCAATGTCATTTAAAATCTTTTTCATCAATTTTTAAGATCACTATGAACTTTAGTCACTATGTTGTACGATAGATCTCTCGAATTTATTTTGCTTAACAAAATTTTGTATCCTTTGACCAATATCTTCTCATACCTCCTTTCCTTCATTCTCATCTCCGGTAACCACTATTTTACCATCTGCTCCTATGAGTTCAAGCCTTTAGATTTCACATGTGAGATAACATGGGATTTGTCTTCCTGATAAACAGAAAACAGCTCAGAGTACATTAAAAACTTAACTGTAAAGTCCAAGAACTATGAAACTACTGGAATAAAACATAGGGGAAAATCTCCATGACACTAGTCCTAGTAATAACTTTTTGAATAAGATCTCAAAAGCACGAAAAAAAGAGAAGTTAAAATAGAGAAGTAGGATTATATCTAAGCAAAACTTCCTGCACGGCAAAGAAACAATCAATAGAAACAGAATGAAGAGACAAATACGATATGAGAGAATATCCCCAAACCATATATCTCGTAAAGGAGTACTATGCAAACTATGTGAGAAACTCAAAACAGCTCAATAACAAGTAAATGAATCATTTAAAAACAGGAAAACAAACGGAATGGATATTTTCCAAAAGAAGACAGGTAAATGATGAACAGGTATGCCAAAAAACTCAAGGTAAGAAATCATCAGAGAAATATAAATTAAAACCATAACGAGAAAGCATCACCCCTGTTAGACTTAGTGAGTACTGATGGTCACAGTCTTCTACAAGCACACTGTGGGGACTGTGATATGAACTTTCTCATACATCTTCAGAGCTTCATATTTAAAATCCATTCCTTTATGTATAGGGTGATAATGGCTGACTAGGCTGACCCCATGGTGCATTGATTAACTTCTATGCAGAGGGAGCTAGCTCCTACAGGGCCAACCACTGTTCAAATCCTGGTGTCGTAGCATATTCCAGGGGATGCATTCCATTTTATAAGTAAAGGCTGCATTCTTTCTGAAGTTGTAAGCAAACTCACCAATCTCTTCATGAATTGAACAAAGATAAGCTCAAGGAACAAAAATTATTTCAAATTATTTATTCGATTTTCAATTTTCCTACTGGAATGATATGTGATGAAAAACACTTTGAGGTTGCTTCATTTCAAAGATATTTCAATACTTTTTGTCATAGAGGAAGAGAATAGCAGATAATCCTCTCATCAGTATGACATGGTAACACATAAATTTATTATACATTGTCTTTTTTATTTAAAGGTCTTAAAATTAGAAACTGATCTTTCATTGTAGAGATCTTTTTTCCCATGAAAGAAGAATTGTATATTTTCCTTAAAAACAAAAGAATGAAGGAAATGACAACATTAAATTGTATCTAAATATTTAATTACCTTAAATTATTTCTCTTTTTTCAAAATAAAAAAGAAAGAAATGCTTAATGTCTCGTTATTCAGAGTATTCATATTTATTCATCTTTACTTCTACTCCATATGCCATTCTTGCCACAGATACAAGCCTGGTAAGTTTTCCTTCTTCATACTTCTTATCCCATCTGAATTATAATACCACAGAGCATTGATAGAATATATTTAGAAAAACTAGTCTTCTAATTGCACGGCAGAATAGAAGAAACTAGCAAATATGAGTTGAAGTTATTGGTGCATGAAGCAGAGGTGATGCTAATCAGTTGACAGACCTCCAATTTCACACCACTACAGAACATTCTTTGGTAAATTTAATGGAAGAAAGAACAAATCAACCAGAAGCAATTGAATATAGTCAAGCAAATTTCTGTTTCATAGATGCTGGTTTCTTAGAAAATGCTAATAACAATGCCACGTGTTAAGTTTTTGCAGAGTCAGGAGTTAACATGATTATGTTCCTGTGGGCCGCCACATGTTGTCCTTGCCATCATTGTTTCCTGCAGAAATAAAATGCCGAAGGGTTACCACAGGCTGATAGACATAGCATGCCAGATTACACGCTGCATCACACCATCTGCCAAACCACAGATTCTCAGGACTCTGCAGTACTGGAGAAAAAGAAAAAGAAAAAGAAAAACCTTATGATTATGAGTACTTTAGAGAAGACAGGTATTTTCTGATTCACTATCTGGAGTTATTTTTATGGAATTGATGATAAAGTATGCATGACAAAGTGTGAGTGCCAAGAAAATTCTAATTAGGGGAAAAAATCCAAAAGCCCAGCCTTGAAGAGCTCACTAAATTTAACAGAAGGGAGTCTGAATTCAGCTAGTAACATTTGTTCTATTCTCATTTTTAATTAGCGTCAAGGAGTTTAATTAGAAGTATAGCATATGAGCATCACAGGGAAGGAGGAGCTAGAAGGGGCTGAAGACTACTCTGGTCCAGCTGCTTTATTTTTCCTGATAAGTTGGGGGAGATGACATGCATGTTTGTAGGCTAGCTTGGAAAATACAGAAATACATAAAGAACATTATTTAATATTCTTTTATTCAAGGATTCTCTTCCTATAGAGTGCTGATGTGTATATTAAGCAAGTAAATCATATGAGTGCTGTATATCTTCACTACTGTACTCCATATTCTGTGTCTTCTCAGAACCCCTCCGTAAAGTATGATGACACTCAACTAACTGGTTATCAGTATTTGTCTTACTCATTCAATAAATATATTTGAACAACATCTGTGCATCAGACACCTGTATGGGATAGGAAGTAAAATGGTCAGGAGAAAAAAAAAATGACACTTTCCTTCACCAGAAAAAGTACATTGAGACTAAGAGGCACCTCATTACATATCCTACTTTAAGTAAGGTGCCAAGAAAATCCAGTACTTTTATCAAAATTCACACTTCTTTCAACAACTGCTGACATGACAGTATTAATGAGTCAATAACATTTTGGCAAAGAGCACTAGCCCAGGAATGAGGAATTCTATAATCTGGTTTAAGTTCTGCTAATATGTTAGCCAGGTGAAACAGAAAAAAAAAATCTATTAGTTCATTTTCTCAAAGAGAAATTGCTTAAATTACATCATTGTAAGACTGTTGGATCTTGAAGGTTGTTTACTTCTGAGTTAGATGTGTTTGTACCCCTCCTAAAAAAAAATAAAAACAGAGGAGTCAAAATAATATGAAAAGGGGAGGGCTTTAAATAGAGACTGTAATATTATCAAAGATTTTTCCTTTCAAACTATTTGTTTAATTGGTTTTATTGTTCCCAATTTTTTTTCTTTATTTTGAGGGCATATGCTAAATGGTGTAAAGAAAACTGATTTGGTTTCAATATCAGGTCCTTGGAACTTGTTCATTCAGCCATGTCTTGGAAGGACATTTACCTAATAAAATTACTTTTCTTATGAATTTTTCAAATGGTAAAGTAAGTAGATTTGCAGAGTGATCCTTAAACCAAGTACAGAAACTCAAACTGGAAACCAATTTCTCATGTATTTGTAATATTTCTCACTTACAAAGTAAACTCAAAGATGAAACTGTTCTGTAGTGAAAGGTAAGGGGTCAATTCAACAGAATGTAGTGATACCAGGCCAAAAACATATCACAGTATACAACACTGTGACAGAGATAATAATTACTGACATCTTTGTGGTAGACAGAGTTGTTGTTTTCATCTACTTGAGTTTACTATATTTCAGGAACAATTTTTAGTCACTTATATGTAATAATTTATTTAAACTTCACAACCTCAAAAGTCTATGATAGGTTGAGACCAGCAGTTTGTGTAATGACTATATCTCTAGACACCCATGTAGTCGACCATGGTTGGAGTCCTGGACCTGGCGGGTTAAACTCACGCTGGGCACATGTGCATACATGCCCAAGATCCCGAAAGGAGAATGGAGGAGAAAAGATTGTGGTGTGACCATCCTCCCTAGGGGATGATTTCTCACTTTCGGTCTCTCTTTCTCTGTCTTTCTGGCAAGTGCATGCACGATTTGCAGAGTGATCCTTAAACCAAGTACAGAAACTCAAACTGGAAACCAATTTCTCATGTATTTGTAATATTTCTCACTTACAAAGTAAACTCAAAGATGAAACTGTTCTGTAGTGAAAGGTAAGGGGTCAATTCAACAGAATGTAGTGATACCAGGCCAAAAACATATCACAGTATACAACACTGTGACAGAGATAATAATTACTGACATCTTTGTGGTAGACAGAGTTGTTGTTTTCATCTACTTGAGTTTACTATATTTCAGGAACAATTTTTAGTCACTTATATGTAATAATTTATTTAAACTTCACAACCTCAAAAGTCTATGATAGGTTGAGACCAGCAGTTTGTGTAATGACTATATCTCTAGACACCCATGTAGTCGACCATGGTTGGAGTCCTGGACCTGGCGGGTTAAACTCACGCTGGGCACATGTGCATACATGCCCAAGATCCCGAAAGGAGAATGGAGGAGAAAAGATTGTGGTGTGACCATCCTCCCTAGGGGATGATTTCTCACTTTCGGTCTCTCTTTCTCTGTCTTTCTGGCAAGTGCATGCACCCTATAACAAAAACCTCTCCAAAAAAAACAACGACAACAAAAAAACCTTTGATAGCTTTAGTAGTTGTATTCAAAGCAGCATAAAAGAATATCAATTCAAATATGAGATGATCTGGAAAAGACTATTTAATTCATTTGATTCTAGAATATGTCATTCTCTAAAATATGGTGTATGAGTTTTGGAAACATTTAGGAAGAAAAAGCCTATAGTAATAAACAAATCAACGTTTTCCTTTGACAGATAGAGTCCTTAATGGAATATGTTAAATGTATGATAGACCCCAAAATTCCATCTCCACAAGTTTTTGAAGCTATTTTATTAATGTAATGCTATATTTTGTGTTTAGACATAAATAATAACATCAAGAGAAAAGAAACAGTAACGTGGATGAAGAAAACAAGTAATAGTTGGAGGTTTTCTTGTGTTTGTAAATAGAATTTAAAATATATACTTGTTAGATTTATGATAACAAAGAATGACCACATGGGAAAGAAACTAGTTTTTGACTGTTCAACATTTCTAGTTTAAAAGGTAAGATATTTAGAAGTGTTCTATTAAAGTCTGTCGAGGGCTAGCCTCATGGCCTTTTGGTTTAGGTAGACATATGCCTCATAGTGGACCATAGTTTGAATCCTGATCCCAGCCACTTGAAAACTACATGACCTGAATGTGTATGTTAAACAGGATGGGTAAATAGAGTAGGGATTGTGACATGACCGCCCCCTACTGGGGAGGGTTTTTTTTCTCCCTCTGTGTCTTTCTGTCTATCTCTCTGCCTCTCCTTGGCAAATCCGCACACTCCCTCTGGCAATTTAAAATAAAAGTAGTCCATAAAAACTCAGAAAATGGGGCCAGAGCTGTAAAGCGCAATGCTCTGTGAGGCTGACCCAACATGGAAAGTTTCAGATTTGTGTCTGAATAGGATGAGCAGGACTATGGCCATGATTTGAGGGTTGCTGAAGCTCTAGATAGGTCTTGGTATCAGGGCCTTATTGTGGGTGTGTCACCTCTCTATCTTATTTTCACTCTCTGTCTCTCTTGCTCATGGAACAAACACAATTTTTAAACCTGGGAGAAATGACTGTTTCTTCAGCTGCATAGATACCTCCATAAAACTGCAAGGAGCACAAAGAATCAAGGAAATAGGGCCCAATGTAAGAAACTCACTAAATCTCCAGTAAGAAATCCCGAGAACAAAATAAAACAAAAATGTGAGATTTATAAATTACCTGACCAATAACTCAGAAAAAAAGTTGCTTTAAATAAACAGTGAGTTACAAGAGAACACAGAAAACTAAATGAAGTCAACAGAATAGCTGAAAAAAAATGTGAATTTTAATAGCAACAACAACAAAAAACCAGAAAATATAAAAAAAAAGATGGAAATTCTGGAGATTAAGAAAATAATTGAGTTGAAAAATACACTGCAGCTAGAAGTTGGTGTAGTGGTTAAGGCACTGGACTCTCACCTAATCAACCATTGTTTGAGTGCTGGACCTGGCAGCTTGAAACTCAGGCCAGTTGAATGCCCACCCAAAATCCTGAGGGTAGAATGGATGAGAAGGGGTTGCAGTGTGGCCATCCCCTCCAGGGGGTGATTTCTTGCATTCTGTCTCTCTGTCTCTTTCTGTCTCTCCAGCAGGTGCATGCAATATATAGCAAAAATCTCAAAAACAAAAAAAGAGAAGAAGAAGAAGGAAGGAAAGAAGAAAGAAAGAAAGAAAGAAAGAAAGAAAGAAAGAAAGAAAGAAAGAAAGAAAGAAAGAAAGAAAGAAAGGGAGGGAGGAAGAAAGGAAAAAAAAGAAAGAAAGGAAGGAAGGAAGAAAGAAAGAAAGAAACAAAGAACAAAAAATGTATTTTAAAAATTCAATAACTGATTGATACACAAAGAAAATAATCAGTATACTCAAAGACTGGTCATTAAAGATTATGCTATGAGATGAGAAAAAAAAGGGGGTGATGTAAAACTAAAGGATTAAGTCAACCAATAAACACATTATGATGGTTACTAAAGTAGAAAAGAGAAAGGAAAATAAAAAGCCTTTTTTGAAAATAATGACTGGGCTACCTGGTGGCACGGTGGGTGGGTGTATTCTTCACTGTTGCTGTGTATATAAAATGGCTCAGTCACTGCAAAACTCAGTATCCCGATTCCTCAAAATAGTTTTAAAAAGGCTAACTTGTGGCCTGGTAGAAAAAGAGGCTGGATCTTATGTAGCTAACTATGCTGTTCGTGTCCTGAACCTACCACGTGAGAAACATACCGGGCATGTGTGTGTTCATGCTCAAAATTCCAAAAGGAAGGAGAGATGGAGTAGAAAAAATTGCAGCATGACTATGTCCCATGAGTGGTGCTTTATGATTTTCTTTCTCTCTGTTTTTGTCTCTATCCAGCAAGCATATGTGCCCTCTGGCAAACTGAAAA